GGAGGAGGAGGAGGAGGAGGAGAAGGAGGCGAGACTCACAGATTCTGGGGAAACCGAACAGGTACGGATGCCGCAGCTCCCGGGGCCTCTCCTGAGGTGCACCCTGGCCAGAATGTCGAGGCGAATCCAGCAGTGGCGACGAGGGCCTTCCAGGAGGCCCCTAGAGGGGAAGACGAGGGAAAAGTAAGGGTACCGGTATCCTCTGCCTCCTCTGAGACTCCTAAAAAGGTTGCAACACATGCAACAGAAGCCAGAAGACTTGTCGTCAGGATCGAGCAGAATAGGGAGCCACAAGTCCACCCTCAGAAGAAGCACCCCGACAGGCGAAGCCATGTCGTAGACGCGCCCAAGGAAGGAATCGCACAAGGCAGGGCTGTTCAGAAAAACGCCACGGGCCGTCTAGCAAACGCCAGTTACGAAGGGGCCTTTGGACATACCAAGAAGAACACACAAATAACAGGATTCCCAATATTTTCCCACAGATTCTGGGTTTCTGTCCTCCCCCCCACTTCCCATATTTTCGCATAGTTCCCTGGGAAGTCGACGATTCATTGTGTCGGTGTGTTTCTCCCCCCCCTGAAATTATCGGGGTCGGGGTGGCCTTCCTCCGCTGACAGGAGCGAGCGACGCGTGCCCGCCTCTGCGGCGTGACGCTGCGGCTGCTGGCGTCCCGCCGCGGCGGCGTGGCGTCCCGCCGCGGCGGCGTGGCGTCCCGCGGCGGCGTGGCGTCCCGCCGCGGCGGCGTGGCGTCCCGCCGCGGCGGCGTGGCGTCCCGCCGCGGCGGCGGGGCGGTCCTCGGCGGCCTCTGGCGGCCCTCGGAGGCCTTTCGGCGGCCCTCGGCGGCCCTCAGAGGTCTTTCAGCGGCCCTCGGCGGCCCTCGGAGGCCTTTCGGCGGCCCTCGGCGGCCTTCGGAGGTCTTTCGGCGGCCCTCGGCGGCCCTCGGCGGCGATCCTCGGCGGCCCTCGGAGCTGTCGCCGTGGCGAGGGCCGCGGTCGCTGCCGAGGCGTTTGTGTGTCGGGGCTCCCTGGGGGTGCTCGTCGCCACGGGGTGCGCGGCGGCTCTCCGAGAGAATGGCCCGGGAGGAACCCCGGCAGCTCACAGTCGGGGCGTTGACCTAAGGAACCCTAAATAAGGAACGATGCCCCTTTTCTCCACACATTGAACTTCGATTTCCCATGGAAAACCTAAGGAAAACCCAAAGCAAACTGCAAAACAACTAAGGAGCACGGAGCCCCTCCCCAACGAAAAGGGTTCCTTTTTCAGCGCCTGGACTGTACCAGGGATCCGTGCCGCGTGCATTCTGGGCAGGGGCTGTGGAAGAAGTCGTCGTCGTCGTCGTCGTCGTCGTCGTCGTCGTCGTCGTCGTCGTCGTCGTCGTCGTCCTCGTCGTCGTCCTCGTCCTCGTCCTCGTCCTTGTCCTCGTCCTCGTCCTCGTCCTCGTCCTCGTCCTCGTCCTCGTTGTCGTCGTCTTCGTCCTCGTCCTCGTCGTCGTCGGTATCGTTATCGTTAGCGCCGTCGCCGTCGCCGTCGCCGTCGCCGTCGTCATCGCAGTCGCCGTCGCCGTGGCCGTCGCTCTCGTCTTGGTTCCTCTCCGTTTCCGCAGTGTTGCGTTGGCCACTCGCTGCGTGAGCTGCGCGTCGGGTCCAAGCGACAGCAGTCAGCAAACCCTCGCGCATGCAGGCCGACGCAATCCTACGAGAGAGAAGACAGTCAGGTACCGAACGGGTGGGTTGCGGCGCTCCGTGCCGCACGCGCAGAGGGCCCACGGGCACAAGACATGACATCGCACCGCACCAGACCACGCGTCGGTCATGCCTGACCGTGCTCAGTTCTCATTGTGCTCGTTTCGAAGTGCTCCTGGCCCCCTAGTGGCCAGGAAGAGGCCCAGGACAGAACAATTAGAAATGAAAAGATCTTGGCTCCCCAACAACTCAAAGAACTCTCGAAGAACAGACGTGAACCATGTGTATTGCACCACCCCAGTGTCGCTGCACCCCGCATTTTTTGGGGCCGATCCGAAGCTGAGCGAGGGGCAGCCCAGAGGCCTCTGCGCACCTCTCCCCGGATGGAGCAACTCGAAGCGACAGGATCGTGGCCCCCCAAGAGAAAGCAAAGAGCTGACAAAGAATGGGAAACGAACGCCGTGCAGGTGGTGCCCCCCCAGGGGGGCGGCGCGGACAGCGCCGCGGCGCTCGGAGGCACGTGCTGAGCCGCGCAAGCAGAATGCGCACGAACGCTGCGCGTCGGCAGCCGCGCCGTGCCGGATCCTCGGCCGCAGCCAAGCAAGTGCGCGTCCCGCGCAAAGGGGGCCGCGCCGCCGGACGTCCCGGAGCGGCAGGAGGCGGACGAGGCAGGTCGAGCCTGACCATCATCGAGTCGGGCCTGTTACTCTACAGGGGGCACTTTATTCGGGGGTGGACAGAACCCCCAACAGTGACACGTCGATTGGTGAATTGTCCGTTTTCGGTTCTCGAGAGGGCGCCGTGGCCGTTATTTTCCAGGCTTGCGCCCGCCAGGTTTGGGCCTCGGGCCGTTTTCACTAAACCACGTTTTGCTAAAGGGGGGTCTGTCCATCCCCGAACTTCTCAGAAACAAACAAGCCACAGTTCCGGGGGCGATGCTCCGACTGTGTGGGAGCAGACTCGGAGCATGCTGGGGGCATGTCCTATGTTTCTTCCGAAATCCGCGCGTATGGGGGGCAGGCCAGACCTAAGTCTATCAAGAGCACACCACTTTCGGAGCAGATCCCCGACGCCAGCGTGGGTCGCACGGGCACGAGCTGTGAGCACGAAAGTCCGTGGCCCCTGCGGGGCCCCGGATCCGGCCGAGATCGGCGCGTGCCCACGCCACGCAGAGTGCGGCATCCCCAATGCGATGGAGATCGCTCCGGAATTCCGTCAGCGTCCACGCAAGAGGGAGGCACAACCGAAAACGGAGGGCAATCAAAGTACGCAGCGTTGACGGAGGCAGCTGGCGGCGTGCGAGACAGCGGTCTTACAGTTCGTTCCCGAGGGAGGGAACTGGCGAGCGAAACCGTTTAGCATCCCAAACAAATGAAGAATATTTCCGCAGGGGGGCGATGGGAGTAAGACGAATGGCAGAAGAATCCTTATAGGGTTCCCATCGAAGAGGAATTCTCCTTGGGTTCACATCGTCACCGCGCAAAATTGGCAAAGATAACTGTCGAAACCATTGAGCCATTTACGGAGACAAGCGAAAAATGTAGTGAGGGGTCGGGGGGGCGGGGTATTACTTCCAGGGGACGAGAAGTGTTAATCCACAGCTGACGAGACAGGCTCTTCATTGCTTTTGCGTTTTTTCGTCGCCGTCGCATCCAGTCGTCGTCGTCCTTGCCGTCGTCCTCGTCGTCGTCGTCGACGCCGTCGTCTTCGTTGTCGTCGTCGTCGTCGTCGTCACCGCCGCTGGTCGTCGTCGTCGTCGTCGTCATCGTCGTCGTCGTCACCGCCGCTGAGCGTCGTCGTCGCCGCCTTGGTCGGTCGTGCACGTCGCCGTTGTCTCAGTTATCGTCGCCGTCTTGGCGGCCTTCGCCGTCCTCGCCGCCGCCGTGGCCTCTTGACCGGTGCGCCTGCTACTGCTCGTGCTGCTACTGTTGGGTCGGGCGTGTCCTCCTACAGGCGGACTTTGGACGAACAATTAAAAATCGGAAGAAAGTGATCCAAAAATAATGATAATAAAACAAATAAATATAAATAATAATAATAATAATAATAATACGAATAAGAATAATAATAATAATAATAGTAATAATAATAATACTCCTACATGTATATATATATATATCAGATAGAAAGATTGTCCCCGGATAATTTGTTTGACCATTTTTGAATGTTCCTCCTGTGGAGGGACAGGCCCGACTTCACGCTACCGCCTGGCCCGCCACGGCGGCGGGACCCCCTTCCCCACGCAAGGGGCATCCCCTGGGGAGGAGCAGCAAAACAAACAAACAAACAAACAAACTGTCCTCCCCTGTTGTTGTTTGTTTGTTTTGTTGCTCCTCCCCAGGGAACAAAAACAAAAACAGAAACTGGGCAGCTTCCAGGATGTCCAGGTCCTCCTCCCCTGGAAGCGGCCAGGTGGTCCGAGCTGCCTGGGCCCCGAGAGAAAATCGGTCAGGGGGGGGGGAGGAGGCCAAGTCTGCTCAACATCGGTCCCGCGACCCCTCCTGGAGTTTGTCTGGTGCAGATTTTGCCCCCGATCTGCTTTTCACAGCCCCGGGACCCGAACACGACGCCCAGAGGCCGAAGGAGGCCAAAAACCTGCTCGAACCCAGAACCCCGAACCTCGCCCCCCTCCTGCCTGCTGGCCAGAGCCAAGGCTGCGCCACCCAAGGCCCCCAGCCAGCTTCAGCTCCTCCCCCGAACTACACCTCGATCCCCCTCGCAGGGTGAAGGTTGGGGCCTGGGTGGTTTTGGTTTTCCGCCGGGCAGGGGCCTAAATGTTGCCCTGACTGATGCTTGAGCGCAACGCTCCACCCTTGCGCCCCCCCGAAAAGGAGGGGGCCCCAGACGGCGCTGCGGGGCATGACGATCCGACTCGATCCCCCCTCGATCACGGGCATCGCTGCCGTGGCTGCGTGGCGCTCGGGGGGCCCAGACGGCGCCTGCGGGGCATGACGCCTCCTCCTGCCGAATCGATTCGATTCCCCCCTCGATCCCCGGGCACCGCTGCCGTGACTCCGCTCGGGGGCCCAGACGGCGCTGCGGGGCATGACGCTTCCTCCTGCCGAGTCGATCCGACTCGATCCCCCGTCGTGCGGGCAATACTTCTGTCCAGATCCGCAGCAGTATGAAATTTCGGGCCCCCTTCCCTGGAAAGTCCGAGGCGCAGTGGACGTGGATGAGTTTGCCCTCGATAGAGGCTCGGTCTCTATCCCTCTCCGGTGCTCCTCGGCCTTGTGGCGCCCCGTCCAAGCAAATCCCAAGACGCACCGGATGCGGATGTAAAGATTGCCCGCACCTCGATCACCCGGGCTTCGTTGCCGCGGCTGCGAAGGCGCTCCTCCGCGGAGGCGTCGCGTCCCGCCGCGGCGCCGCCAAGTCCCGCTGCCGCGGCGGCGTGGCGTTCCGGCGCGCCGGCGCGGGGTCCCGCCGCGTCGGCGTGGGGTCGCGGCAGTCCACCACCTGTGCTCCCCGGGGAGCCCCGAGACGCGGTCATCGGTCCCAGGCTTCGGTCGGGCATGCCCTCCTACAGGCGGACTTGGGAAGGAACATAAAATATGGTCAAAAGATGTACCTCAAAACAGTCAACAATGGTCGAAAGAGGTCCCCAGACTATGTTTTGACGATTTTGGAATAACCCTCCTGTAAAGGGACATGCCCGACTTAATCCCAGGCATCTGAGCGACGAACATGGGCGGGTCTTACGACGGATGGCTGGCAGTCAGAACTGATGGCAAGGATGCGCGATTCGGATGCAGGCCCCTCGGACGCACACGTCGAAGCTCTTCGAACGGGGCTGGCCATCGAGAGCGGTTACGGGTGGACCGAAGAGGCAAGGATGCAAGAGTCACATTTGGGAAGGTTACCGATCCTTACTATCGTTTTCGACTGAAGCGACCTTAGGCGGTGGCTTACGTGGACAGCCAGCGCGGCACGCCACATTGGAAACGAGGGCGCTTGCGCAAGACCTTACACGGGCAGCCTACGCGCAAATGTCCGCAGTCCTCGGTCGCAGACGTCTGCCGATAATCCTCACAACGTGTGTTAGCGCTAACGTGTCCACCCAGGCCCCCCCAAAAAAACGACGCAGGCGGCACTGCGTCTGACACTGACACCTGAAAGCTGGAACAGCCTGAAGCATGGAGGGGGGTCGTTTTCGGCATATGGATCTCGCGCTAGCGCCGCAAACACGCATGTTCAACTCTGGAGCAGTTTCTTTTGTGGTGCAGGGGGGGTGTCTGTCAACACGTGGCTCTCTCCTGAGAGCCGCGCACACGCTCGTCTTTTAAAAAGCTCGCAGCAGCTCCTGGAGGGGGGGGGGTTCCTGGCCCGCGCCTGAGCCGCGCCTGCGTCCCCAAGAAGAAAACGCGCACCGGCTTCGAGCATGGAGGCCGGCTCGTTGTCAACATGTGGCTCTCGCCCGATCGCCGCACACAGTCGCTCGAGACGTCTGCAGCGGCTGCGGGGCGTCTGCAAAATGCGGCTCTCGCCCGCGCGCCGCGCACGCCCGAATTCAGAAGCGCGCAGCAGCTCCAGGATGCCGAGGGCCGGCGGTCCACACGGAGCTCTCGCCTGGACGCCGCGCGCATCTTTCGGCTGCTCTTGCTGCAGACTGATTGGAGGTCGGTGCAACCCTGCCATCGCTCGGACGTCCATTCCCTGTTTTTTTTCCGGTTTCGTGCGTGGTGTTTTCGCCAAATGATTAGGGATGCTCCTCGATGGTCCTCGCCGAAGGAAAAACGCACACGTCCGAGCGATGCCAAGCAACTGTTCAAGAACCGCCTTCGAGGACGGAGGCCCGCTCTTGTCTCAGGCCGCGGCTCTCGCCCCCGCGCCGCGCACGTGCCTCTCGACAGGCGGAGCAGGGCAGTTCCTCGTCAAGCTGGGGCTCGCGGAACTCGGCGTGCCGCGCGCCCTCGTCGGGGATGACTGGCAGCTCCTGCTCCAGACAGCTGGCGTTCGCTGGTGACCGCTCCCGCGCCAGCTACTGGGAGATAGAGATTGGGGACGTGCACGGGCTGCACGGACCCAGCGCGGCTCCTTGACAGAAATGGGCGGTCGCCTGAACCCTTCTTTTCGAGCCCCGAGATCAGAAGCTTGAGCACAGCGCGCACCTGCACGGAAGGAAGGCGGCTCCTGCTCAGAACGGCTCTTTTGCGCCTCCGAGGCTTCGTCGACGCCCCGTGGCCAGACCTTGAAGGCCCGTGCAACGAGCTGCACGAATCTGGGCAGGCCCGCTGAAGAGCGGGGGTCTCGCTCGACCCCTCGCCGAACTGCACGACTCTACCGTCGCTCGTTTCTCATTGCTCGCCAGAACACGAACACGCACGCGCGCACAACGTCCGGCCTCAAGCTGGGCCTGTCCCCCTGCAGGCCGAGTTTTGGACGGGCCGAAGCCCGCACGCGATCTCGGTGCACCGCGCGGGGAAGCTCTCCTCCAGCTCGTCCCAGTCTCCAGGGCAATCCAGCCACGACTCCTCAAGCCCAGCGGCCTCAAGAAAACATTGAAGATCGTCCGCCCACGTGGGATACAGAGCAGCCAGTTCCTTGACGAAGTGGGCCCCCCGCCAAAAACAGAAGCAGGCCCCTAGGGGTGCTGGTCGCTCAAGGGGGTGCTTCTGAAAGGGGGTAAGGCCTGCAGGGACTTATGACGCGGGGATCTGCGACGGGAGGGTGCATTGCAGCATCGCTGACGCATCTTCTGTTTACTCGGGTCCTCCTCCTTTTCCTTCTCCTCCTACCCCCCTCGCCCTCCTCATCCCTTCTCCTCCCCTTCGTCCTCCGCCTCCCCCTTCCCTCCTCCCTCCTCCTCCTCCCTCCTCCTCCTCCTCCTCCTCCTCCTCCTCCTCCTCCTCCCTCCTCCTCCTCCTCCTCCTCTCCTCCACCTCCCTCCTGTCCTTCCTCTCTCTCTCTCTCTCCCTCTCTCTCTCTACCTCCTCCTCCTCCTCCTCCTCCTGCCTCCTCCCTCCTCCTCCTCCTCCTCCTCCTCCTCCTCCTCCTCCTCCTCCTCCTCCTGCTCCTCCTCCTGCCTCTTCCTCTTCCCTCCTCCTCCTCCTCCTCCCCCTCCTCCCTCCTCCTCCTCCTCCTCCCTCTCCTCCCCTCCTCCTCCTCCTCCTCCTCCTCCTCCTCCTCCTCCTGTCCCTTCCTCTCTCTCTCTCTCTTTCTCTCTCTCTCTCTCTCTCCACCTCCCCTCCTCCTCCTCCCTCCTCCTCCTCCTCCTGCTCCTCTCCTCCTGCCTTCCTCCTCCTCCTCCTCCTCCTCCCCTCCTCCTCCTCCTCCTCCTCCTCCTCCTCCTCCTCCTCCTCCTCCTCATCATCATCATCCTCTTCCCTCCCCCTCCCGCTGAAGAGAGACACCCGCCGCCCCGAGGCCGCCCTGGGCTCCGGCACGAACGGGTCGTGGTGCCCGCCGCTCCTGCCGCCAGCGGCTGGCACGCGCACGGGCCCCGCCAACGGGGAGGGGGCTGGGAACAAGGGAAGGCGACACCAACACCAACAGGGCGAGGATTGAGGAGCGGGGGGGAGGCGAGAGGGCGAAGAGGAGGAGGAGCAGGAAGAGGAGGGAAGAGAAGAGGGACACACACGATCTACGGGCGCCCCTCGGGCTTCGTGGGAACCTCCTCTCCCCCCATGCCCTGCGGCATGGTTCGCGCAACCTGCCTCGTCCCTCTTCCCTCTTCCCAGGAACAAAGGAAAGGCGACTCCAACACCAACAGGGCGAGGATATGCGAAGAGCAAGGGAGGCCTCCATGGTGGTGTGGTCCCCCCCTCTCGCTCGAGACGTCCCCAGCCTCCAGCTCGGGGAGGCATCGTGGACCTCCTCGATGGAGGTGGGCCCCCTGGTGGTGTTGGCGTCGCATCTCCCTCCTCCGAAGGGCGAGTTGAAGTTCAGGGTTTTCCGAAGCCGGCTTCGGCGGCGAGCGAAGGGGGGGAAGTGAGAAGGAGAAGGCCTTCTCAGATGGGGGCGGGACTTCTCAGAAGCCCGCGCGCCTTCCGAGAAGTTGTTTTTGGGGCTCAGAAACTTCTTCGATGGCCTTTATCCTACTTTCAGGGACTGGTCAGGGAACCTGGGGGCAGAGAGGAGACCTCCTGAGGACGAGCGAGGGAAGAGGATGTAGGAGGAGGGGGAGGTGGAGGACTACGATAAAGATGTTAATGATGATGATGATGATGTTTGTGCATTTCCGCCGGTGTATCTCGAGGTCGAGAATGGCAACAATGAGACGGGAGAGGCATGCTAGCATGTGCGAGGCACCAGGATTCCCAGACCGTCAACCCCAGCGCTGTCCTGGAGTGGGGTGGTCATGTCAATAGTTGTCACCTGGTCGCTGCTGCGTGCGCTACGATCCTGGATCTAGAAAGACGAACTGCGAGAGACAATTCTTTGACTAACGAGGCGGCCGCTCGGAGCCCCGCTTCAGTGGAGGTGGCGCCAAGGAGGAAAACTGACGCTTGCCATAGGGTGCGGAACTCTCCGGAAGCATTGTCCCGACACGTCATATGCCAACCACAGCCTGCTAGAGGACCTTGCTTGCCTCCGTCGAAGCTGCACTGGAGTTTCATGGGTCTGGTGGGGTCGACGTGCAAGCCAGCACTGAAATCCGAGGTGGAATCTTGGCGGTCTTGGATTGCCTTCGTCGCCCTCAGGTCGGCAACGATATTGCCCTCCCGGAGGTTGTGACGGAACCAGAGACCACCGCGCCTGGCCGTGCGGAGGGGGAAGTTGTTACACAGTTCCCAGAGACGTGTCTGCACTGTGGAGACCAAGGCCCGGTAGTACGGCGAATTGATCCGGAGCGTCCTGTTGATTCAGCCGACCACCGTTGAGTTGTCACCCCAGCAGTCCGCCATGATGCACCACCTGGTTGGTTGTTTCCACACGATGGCTACATCAATAGATATCCGTCTGCGTTTTTGTTTCTCCTCGGAGGCCTGGGCGGAGCCCGGGTGGTGATAGTGATGGTGATGCTGATGATGATGATGCTGGTGATGATGCTGATGATGATGATGATGGTGATGGTGATGGTGATGGTGATGATGATGATGATGATGATGATGATGATGTTGATGTTGATGTTGATGTTGATGATGATGATGATGATGATGATGATGATGATGATGATGATGATGATGATGATGATGATGATGATGATGATGATGCGGAGGAGGAGGAAGAGGAGGATCAAAAGGAGGAGTCGGACCAGTGTAAACCCCAGTAGCAACAATGACGTTGAAGCAAATCCTCCCTCCAAGTTTCGGGTGTTGCTAGAAGTGCCCCTGGCCCAAGGTGCCCCCAGGATTCTCGGGGGGGGGCCCGGCGGCCTCCAGAGCACCCCTCACTAGGCTCAGAGGGCCCCAGGGGCTCCAAAATGGAGCGAAAAGCTGGGGGCACCTTGGGCCAGGGGCACTTCTAGGAACCCCCGAAAGTTACCTATTCCCATGCCCCTACAAGAATTTCTGTTTCATTTCGGGCAATGCGACCCCTTGAAATAGTTGTACACTTTGAAACGAATGTGTGCAGCGCTAAGGCGAAAGCCACACACAAAACCGCCCTCCATCCGTAAAATGCTTGCAGCATTTTGCGACGAGTGCGCGCGGCGCTCACGCGAGAGCAACACACTCTGAAGAGGACCCGCCCTCCAGCCTTGAAGCTGCTGCAAACTTTGGGGGTGAACGTGCGCGGCGCGAAAGCTGGAGCCACACTTTGAGAAGGACCAGCCCTCTATTTTGGACACCCGAAATGGGTACCGAAAGAATGGGTACAATGCCCAACAACAAATGTTGTCCCGAACCAGCAGCGGCCGCTGTTGGGCAGGCGGCCTTCTGTCTCAAATGGACACAGGCCGCGGCCGCGCCGACAGCGAGTCCTGTTCAAAATGAACAGGAACTGCTGTTGGGCATTGTACCATTCTTTTCGTGCCCATCTCGTTCGTGCAGATCTATCCTTGAAGCTGCGGGCCTCGCACGGCCCAGCCCGCCGGGGTGGGAGCGGCCGGACCTCTCCCTGGGGGGCGCTGCTCTGCGGGCGGTGCCCCCACGGCCTTCCCCGCGCCTCCGCGCGGCGGCACGGCCGCAGGGCGGCCCCAAGACTGCTGCCCATCGGCTGTGCGGGTGCAGGCTGCCCGAATCGGCTACACGCAGGAGTGACCCTTGGTAAGAGTGACCTTTGGTGCGCGGCTTTTTGGGGGCCGCGGGGGGACCAAACACAGGCGCGCAAGACGCCACTATCGTATCGCGTTCGGCGATTGGGGGGCCCCATTGGGCCCGCACCAAAGGTCACTCCGGCGAAAGGTCACTCTTACGCCTAGCCGACCGAAGTCCAGCCCAAGGCAGCCCAGCGATGCCCGGTACAGTACAGAGGCCATGCGCCAGCGTTCGGCGCGGCGCTTGGGGAAAATAGCCGAGCGATTGAAGATGGCCCAGCCTGGCACGTGAGAAGCCGTGCATCCGTAAGAGACGTTGGCAGTAGCAAGAGGGTCGACATGGGACCAATTCCTGGTAGAGCTCCTACCCGTAGGCTGCTGGAGCGCGAGGCCGAAAAGCGAAGCACATCACGACAGTGACGCACACCGAACGGAGTGCACCACGACTGTGAAGCAGAACAATGAAGTGCCCCACGACTGTGAAACTGAAGAGACAGAGCATTGCACGAGCAAATGGAAGGAGGAATGTTCGGGAATGTTCGGCTAGAGGACGGCGAAAGTCCCTGCCTCATTTGGCACATCTGCTGCTCTCTGCCTCTCGGACCACCTTCGGTGGGCCCGAGGGGTGGGGGTACTTGCACGCATCAATTCTCGCTAAATTCTGCGTCGTTTTGGCCGTGGAGGAACACTCCTTAACCAACTGTGGGGGGTTAGCGGTGCCCCAGAGAGCCTAATATGCCCCAGGAGGCGCCCCGGGAGGCGCCCAGGAAGGCGCCCGGGAAGGTCTCTGGCGAGGCCCAGGGAGGCAACACACACATGAAATCAAACAAGGAGGAGGAGGAGGAGGTTCCGAATGCTGTGCGCTTCCGAAGCTTTTCGGCTTCACATGACTTCGGAGTACTCGTCATCCCTCACCCTTGCAACACTGGACACTCATCAATTACCAGTCTGGCTACCTTGTGAACCCCCACGCGTACTTCGCACGCGCATGCGATATTATCTTAAGGAAACAAATGTTTCATGCGGGATCACACATGTGGCCAAATTTGTGGAAGCCTGCACAACCGTACCTCACGAGTAGTGAAAACCGAAACGAAGAGTGCTCCAATTCTGTCCTCTGGGATCTACGAGAACAAATGTAAACAACTAAGCACACATGGCCATGTCGGGCTGTCGTGGGCCAGTTGGGGCTGTCTTGAGCTCCTGGGGCCGAAATGTCTCTCCGGGCGTTGTCCAGCCCTCGTAAGGGCATCTTGAAGCCCCTCGGAGCTCTCCTGGGGTCTTCCTGGGACACCTCATAGGCTGTATTGGGAGGCCTCTTAGGTGCCCTTTGATACGCTCTTGAGGCCTCTGGGGGGTCTCGGGGTGTTCCCGTCAAGAATCCCAGAAGGAGTAAATTGAAAACCCTCCACGAGCGTTCAACTGCACGCGACGTCCACCTTCCCAAGGCTCCCTGGGCGCTACGACATCCCCATGGCACTCTCCTGAGCCTCCCAAATATGCCCAAGATGGCTTCAAAGTCAGCCCAAAGTGAATCCAGGAGGCGCCAAAGGGAGCCCTGGAGCATCTTCACAACCGAATGCATCCAGCCGCAATGGCTGCATTGAGTCAGCGCAGCGCCATCTTGCTCTTTATCCTCCTCCTTCTCCTCCTCCTCCTACTCGTCCTCCTCCTCCTCCTCCTCGTCCTCCGCTTCCTCCTCCTCTTCCGCCTCCTCCTCCTCTTATCCTCCCCCAATCTCCCTCGAAATCACAATCGCAAGCGCGACCGCAAAGCATACCCACGACAAAGAAGCATCGTCGCCGACCTCGTTGGGACTCTCCGGTCATCTGAGATTCCTTCCCCCTGTACGCAACCGCCTCCGACCGGATCCCGATATCAAATTTTGAGACTCTGATTGTCCAAGATGGAGGAGGAAGGAGGGAGGAGGGAGGGAGGGAGGGAGGGAAAGCGGGAGGGAGGAGGAGGAGGAGGAGGACAAGGAGGAGGAGGACGAGGAGGAGAGGAGGAGGAGGAGGAGGAGAGGAGAGGAGGAGAAGGAAGAGGAGGAGGGAGGGAGGGAGGGAGGGAGGGAAGGGGAGGGAGGAGGGAGGGAGGGAGGGAGGGAGGAGGGAGGGAGGGAGGAGGAGGGGAGGAGGAGGAGGAGGAGGAGGAGGAGGAGGAGGAGAAGAAAGATGAGGGGGAGGAGGAAGAGGAGGAGGAGGAGGAGGGAGACGGCGGCACCCGCGGGCAGCCCTGGCAGTCGGGGTACGGGCATCGGAAGGGTTGGGGGTGCGACTCCCGCGGCCTCTGGGGCAGGCGCTCGAGCGCGGGACGTTCCCCAAAGTTCACCCCTGGTGGGCGTGTTTTCCACCACCAACACCACCACCACCACCATAAGTAGGAGGGGGAGGGGGTCCTCCTCCTCCCCCTTCTTCTTCCTCCTCTTCATCCTCTACCTCCTTCCCCCCTCCAATTTCTGGTGGTGGTGGAAAACAGGCCCATCATACCCCCAGTCGCGGCATCCGCTCGGCCAGACCGCTGTGGCCACGGGTGGGGATGTCATCTTGGGCTTTGAGACAGGAGGCGATCAGATCCCAGCGTCATTCTGGCGGGTGCCCGAATGGCCGCATTCTGCGGGCACGTGCGCACTCCAACATGCGCCAGGCCGTCGTGCACACGTGTCTAGAGGAAGGAAAAGCCGCATGAGCTCCAACTTTTGACGGTCCGCGCGGACTTCTTGGATCTGCGCTGGAGGAGGACTGAGGAGGAAGGGGGACGGAGGCGGAAGAAGAGGACCTCCCCATCCTCCCTTCCCTGCCGTCCTGCCTATGACATTGGTGGTGAAAAAATCGGCCCATCACCTCGGAGCAGACCCCGTGCACTCCTGCAGATCTCCCCCCCCCCTGGTGCCGCGACGGAGGCCTGGGCCCCCTGTCGAGGGGCTCGAGGATCGAGGAGGACCGATCCTCTTCCTTGATCCTCGATCCTCACCGACCTTCCTCCTCGATCCTCGATGTCCCTCCTCCTCCTCCTCCTCCTCCTCCTCCTCCTCCTCCTCTTCCTCCTCCTCCTCCTCCTCATGCTACTCCTTCTCCTCCCCCTCCTCCTCCTCCTCCTCCTCATCCTCCTCCTTCTCCTCTGTCTTTTCCTCCTCCCTCCTCCTCCCGTTGAACAGACACCCACCGCCCGAGGCCACCCTTGGCCCCGACACCTTGGAAAGATGGTTTGCTTCAACGTCGTTGATGGTTCTTGGATTTACACTGGTCCTATTCCTCCTTTACCTCCTCCTCCTCCCTTCTACTCCTCTTCCTCCGCATCATATCAGCATCTTCATCATCACCATCATCATCCTCATCATCACCAGCAGCGTAACCATCATCAGCATCATGATCACCACCACCATCATCATCAGCATCGTCATCAACATAATCATCATCAGCAGCACACCCATGATCGTCATCATCGCCAGCATCAGCATCAGCATCAGCATCAGCAGCCGCATCAGCATCATTATCAGCATCATCAACGTCGTCATCCGCATCATCACCATCCGCATCACCATCACCGTCACGATCAACATCACCATCACCTTTACCATCGCATCACCAACATCATCAACAACATCATCATCGCCATCATCCTCAACATCATCCGTTTCATCATCAGCGTCATCATCATCACCAACACAATCGTCACCCGCACCATCATCATACGAATCAGCATCGTCAACATCATCACCATCATCATGTTCATCGTCATCGTCATTGTCATCATCGTCATCGACATCATCATCATCACTATCATCATCATCATCGTCATCATCATCAGCATCATCATCATCATCATCGTCATCGTCATCATCATCATCATCATCATCATCATCATCATCATCATCATCATCATCATCATCATCATCATCATCATCATCATCATCATCATCATCATCATCCCATCCTCTCATCCTCATCCTCCTCCTCGACACCCCTCCTCGATCCTCTTTCTCCTCCTCCTCCTCCTCCTCCTCGTCCTCCTCGCGCAAGTGTTGGGTAGGGCCATTATGCTGTGCGTGAGCCCTCCTCCTCCTCCTCTTCCTCCTCCTCCTCCTCCTCCTCCTCCTCCTCCGCCTCCTCCTCCTCCTCCGCCTCCTCCTCCTCCTCCCCCTCGATCCCCGATCCTCGACCCTCCTCCCCGGCCGCCGACCATCGATCCTCCTCCTCGATCCTCGATGCCCCTCGACCCTCGCCACCCCACTGTCGGTTCTCGAAGTCGCCGAGGGGCGGCGCCGCGGCTCCTGGCGCCCTGCTGCCCCAGCTGCTGGGGCGCCAGGGGCGTCGGCGACGGCGGGGGCTCGCGGAGCCCAGCCGCCACCAGCGCCGCCCTGTCCCGCTCCTTGATCTCGGGGTGGAAGCGGGCGCACTGGGCGCGGCGCTCTGGGTCGTCTCCTCCTCCCTCCCTGCTCCTCCTCCTCCTCCTCCTCCTCCTCCTCCACTCCTCCTCCCACCTCCGCCTCCTCCTCCTCCTCCTCCTCCTCCTCCTCCTCCTGCATGCCTCCTCCTCCTCCTCCTCATCCTCCTCCTCCTCCTCCGCCTCCTCCTCATCCTAATATATGTGCCAACTCATTGTTGATTTGTGTTTTTTGACCATGCTGACCGGTAACATGAGATCACGTTCGTCTCGTAAGTATAACTCCTCGTCTTCTTCCCGAAGTACGCTCTTACTCAGGTTCATCTTCAAAGTAGGTGATGGACCCCTCCGTGCCATGGCTAAATGAATATGGTAGTGTGTCCGCTAAGCTTGGGCGAACAGCAGAATATGAAGGGGCGGGCCGGCCGGGGGAGAGCGCCAGGGAGGGCGCGCGCGCCGGGCGAGCGGGCCGCGAAACTTTTCACTTGAGCCAACCCACAACAGCTGCGGCGAAACTGTGGGTCAGAAGTGGGCCGGGGGGATGACTAAATCAACTCCCCCCGCGGCCGGCCTGGCGAGCTCCACTCGCGCGGGCGGACGAACCTGATTTAGGTATCGCCCCGTGGCAGCTCGAGTTAATGGGGGGATGGCCTTGGACGTGAGGGTCTGTAAGCTCCCAGCATGGTCGCATGGCTTCCGCCCCTGCGAGGTACCTTGAGCCAAGACTGCAGCAAAAAGCACAGGGTCATTGGGTCACCGGCGATGCGGGATCGGGGGGGAAGGATGATGAGGGACATGATTGTGTCCGATGCTGTTTATGCCGGCAAGGTTTCGCTGCCACGTGTCGCAATGCTTCGACGTGCTACTGCGCCCCAGTCCTCCTGGTCTCCGCCGTAGGTTGTCCTTCTCTCACTCGTCGCATACTCTTGTCGGTGACCTTGACGACGTTTTTGTTGATCGAATTCTGGGTGCATGGGCGAGTTGGTCTTGGTGTGGTTGTTCCTCGCTTGCCGCTCGTCGTTCTAGATGTTGTTGATCGGGGTGGGCGTGGGCTGGCTGTCTGCTGTGTAGCTGATCCCCCTTCATGTCCTGACGCCGGCAGTAGACATGGGAGGGGGTGGACAGGCGTGGCTGTGAGCGCTTGGATGTGCTAGTGCATGCTGCAGTCCGCTCAATCCGCCACATGTTCCACCGCCTGCAGCGGATTTTGAAGCGGATTGGTGGTCGACGCGCTGGTGGCCGCACCCCCTCCATGTCCTCACGCCGGCAGCGGGCATAGGAAGGCGTGGACGGCATGGGTCATAGCGCGCTGTATGTGTGAAGTGGGCGTCGATGTCCCATTGTGAAAATGGGCAGCCTCCCCTCTCGAGTCAGGCGATCAGGAACTGCTGCGCTGGTAGACACTAGTCTAATGATGTGAGAGTGCCCAATTCCGCCAATCTTGTGCTTGTCCCTCGCAACAGACATTGCACAAGAACCGTATGCTTGGGCCTCAGGAGAGGCTCTTGCCCTCACTGGTTCAGAGTCCCCTTGCCGCCCTGGCGTAGGGGCCTTTATGGGATAGCGTCGTATTGTGTGGAATGAGCCGTAAGCGTGCCATGAGTTGGTAGCCCAGACGGTCCGCCGCATGTCTCATCGTCGGCTGTGGGTTTTGAAGCGGCCGTCTGGCCGTCGTGGGGCCGTCCCGCCTCCGTGTCCTGCCGTCGGCAGCAAACACAGGAGGGGTAGAAGCATGGTTGTCGTGCTCGTGCATGCTGGTGGCTACGGTGTGGCCCCCTTGGCTGGAGGCGTTGCTGGCTGCTGGCTGGCAGGAAGTGGCGGCGGTGGTTAGGTGGAGGGCACGAGGGGAGGTCGTGGAGGCTGCGGTCTCCCTTCGCCGCAGGCCCTCACCCTTTCTCTTCTCCCAGGCTAGGCGCCCAACAATCGGATCGGGCGAAAGGGGGGGATAGCAAAGGGGGGGTTTGAGAATCAGCTCACGTAACTGATTTTCCCGGCGCCTCCCGGCGCCGGAAGCGGCCATGTATCGAGGAATGGGCCCCTCGGTGAGGCCGAAACCAGCTGCATGCAGCAAATTTCGTAACCCCCCCTTTCCCAATCCCCCCTTTCGCCCGGCCCGAAACAACTGCTGCGTTGGTTGTCACCAGTCGGGTGGCATGTTGGTGTGACGCCCGTCCTTGTACCTTCCCGCGCATGAGATGGCGGCCGAGAAGCTTGTGCTTGGGGTCTCAGAAGAGGCGTATGGTATGGAGGGATGCCGAGCTATGTGCCAGTTGGGTCAGTCTGTGCCATCGGGGTGTGGAAGTCGCGGTAGTATTCTGGCAGGTCCCAGTTCTGCTTCGTTGTGGTGAGCCCAGGTTGGTGCTGTGCGTCCGCGATGATGAAGCACATGTCGGTCGGATATGTCTTGGCGGCTGCAGTCTTCCAAGTGCCGTCTTGGTTCCTGCCCAGCAGCATTGGGTGTGCTACTCTTCCGTGGTTGCACCTGCAATTGTTGGGTAGGGCCATTATGCTGTGCATGAGCCCTCCTCCTCCTCCTCCTCCTCCTCCTCCTCCTCCTCCTCCTCCTCCTCCTCCTCCTCCTCCTCCTCCTCTTCCTCCCACTCCTCCTCCTCCTCCTTCTCCTCCTCCTCCTTCTCCTCCTCCTTTTTGTCTTCCTCCTCCTGCTCCTCCTTCTCCTCCTCCTCCTCCTCCTCCTCCTCCTTCTCCTCCTCCTCGCGCGCGGGGGAGTGCACGCAGACAGCGACCTCCACACGTCTCCTCGAGGCCTCCAGAGGCCCCCAGAGACGGCGACACCACGGCGGCACACCAGAAACCGAACAGAAAGCATGGCCCCGAACATCACCCCGGAACGACGGAGACGTCGGCGACAACAAAGATCAGCTAGCGCTGACTCCAAATAGATTAGACGACTCAAATCAAGGAATCAAAGGAATCGAGCATGCTTGGAATCCGCAACTCAGCAAGCGTGCAAACATGCGCGCAAGCGCACAAGCAAGCAAGCAAGCAAGCAAGCGTGCAAGCGCGCAAGCAAGCAAGCAAGTTTATTGAGTATAGGCATAGGAGCGCTCAGAGGTGGTATATAGGAACAGGCATAGGCATAGGCGTAGGCATAGGAGTTAGGGGGAGGCATAGGCATAGGCATGAGCATAGCCATAGGAATGAGGGGGGCGGCACAGAAATTGGAGGGGGGCAACGGGCCAATTAGTATGGTTTGAATCAGAACTCCTATAGGACAACCCTATTTGGAGAACATACGGAAGGTTCTTGCCGTGCTGACTTCGGCGTCGGCTTCTGATGCCGCGGGAATCGTTCAGCCTTGAACGATCGGCTGTTTCCGAAACGTCAAACCGTTCAACATCGACCGATTTTGGGTAACCGGCGGCGTCCAACGTTGAACGCCAACGGTGGGCTCTCAGCATAGGGTTAAGTCGGGCCTGTCCCCCTACAGGGGGATTTTCGACGAAAAATACAAAATACCAAAAAAAAAAAAAAAAAACAACAAATAATCCAAATGGTCTGGGGACTATTTTTTGAAAATTTTGTTTACGTTTTTGGTGTATTTTTGAATATCTTTATTTTTCGTCGAAAATCCCCCTGTAGAGGGACACGCCCGACTTAAGCATAGGGGAAGCGGGTCCTGAGTGAAACTGGCCCTGGACCCTGGAGCCTTCCCAGAGGGCCAAGATTTCCCTGTGGAGGGTCCCGGGAAGCCGAAGGCGGCGAAGAGAACCTCAGGACCCGTCTCCCTGTGTGTTTTTTCCCAACAGACTGTGTGTTTTTTCCCCACAGGCTGTGTTTTTTCCCCACAGGGTTCGTTTCCCAGAGGACCAATATTTACCCGGGGAGGGCCCCAGGAAGCCGAAGGCGGCGAAGAGAAACCTCAGGACCCGCCTCCCTCCGGACCCGCTTCCCCCGTGGCGAGCGTCGCCGCGGGTCGCCACGACGCGAAGCCACCGTAGCCCAAAACCGACGACGACGACGACGACGACGACGACGACGACGACGACGACGACGACGACGACGACGACGACGACAACGTTGACGACGAAGACGACGACGACGACGACGACGACGACGAGGAAAACGACGACGACGACGACGACGACGACGACGACGACCACGACGACGACGACGACGACGACGACGACGACCACGAGAGGCCCCTCCGGGCCGGAGGCCTCCGAGGGCCTCCGAGGGGGGGCTTCCCCCCCCACGGCGGGGGGCGGCCGGGGCGCCTCGAAGTAGAGCCGCTCGCGCACCGCGCCGGGCGTGCCCTGCCCAGATGGTCTGGTACCGGAAATTTTCGGTAGCGATTTCGACGCACCCCGAATTTCGGTAGCGACCGGGGCGTTGAAATAGCGGATTTCAGAACGGTCTGATACCGGTATTGGGCGCTACATTTCGGTATTTCGGTAGCGACCGATCTCTGCGGAGCGCTACCGGAAATTTTCGGTAGCGGACCATCAGGGTGCCGCCGCTCGCGCGCCGGGGGGGGGGTGCGGGCGGAGGACGCGCGAGCTTGGACGCCCGAACCCTGACCTCCCAGCAGGGCCAAAAAATAGCACCAGGGCGTCAACGTCCTGATTCCTGTCGAGGCTTGAGGCAGTCCAGATAGATCTATGGGTCTGGAGTGCTAATTTTTAGCACTCTGGAAGGTCCGGGAAATTAGGGGAACAAAAAGTGGCATAACCATAAAAACTCGGAGGTCCGCGCGGATTTCTCGGATCCGCGCCGGACCCCCCCGGCGGCGCCTCCGGCGCCGCCCCGGGCGCGCTCCGCGCGCCAGGGAGGGGGGTCCAGCGCCGATCCGAGAAATCCGCGCGGACCTCCGAGTTTTTATGTTTACGTGGCTTTTTGTTCCTCTAACAATGCCCAACAACAAGTGTTGTCCCAAACCAACAGCGGCCGCTGTTGGGCCGGCGGCCCTCTGTCGCGAATGGGCACCGGCCGCGGCGGCGCGGGCAGCGAGTCCTGCTCAGAATGAGCAGGAACTGCTGTTGTAGGGGGAAAACAAACCGACCTCGCTCTTGACCACCCTCGCTTCCAAGCGATACCAAACGACGCCAAACCGCGGCCTGCACTGGTCGGGCCGCGTGACCGCGGAGGCGCGTGGTGTGACTTGGTTTCGCCTGGAGGCGAAAACAGGGCAGGTAATGCACGCTCTGATGTTGGGCACTGTACTGCAGGTCCGTGCCGTGTCGTGTCGACCCTGGCGTTGGTTCCTGACACCGCGCTGGATCGTTCAACCTTGAACGATCGGCCGTCTCCGCAACGTCCGATCGTTCAACATCGACCGATTCTGGGCCGCCGGCGGCGTTCAACGTTGAACGTCGGCGGCGGGGTCGCCGCCGGTCGACACGACGCGAACCTACCGTACCCCTTCTTTCCGCATGCCCACCTCGGGCGTGCCGAGCGCGAGAGCCTCGGGGCGCTGCCGGCCCATAAAGAGAGGCCGCTGGCCCGCACACGAGAAGGGGAGGGCCGCGGGCGGCCGCGGGCCCGGTCTTTCAGGCGGGGTTTGGCCCACGAGGGTGGCCAGGGATGGACCGTCGCTCGGACGTCCAGTCCCCGTGCACTTGTCGGTTTCGTGCGTGTTTTTTTTGTTTGTTGCTCGGTGGTCCAGGATGCTCCTCCTCCAGGGTCCTCGCCGAGAAAGAAATGCACGCGTCCGAGCGATGCCAGGCTGGGCGAGGGTCGGGGGCCCTGGGAGATGGGCACCAGCACAGACAGCACAGGGGGGGTGCATCCACAGGGGGGTGCCACTGGGGTGTCGGTGCTGGTGGTGACAGTTCGGCCACCTTGGAAGTCAGAATACTACCACCATCACCGAGATCGGGATCCTCTTCCCTCGGTGGAGGTACGCCGCCGATCTTGGTGTTGGTGTCAACTTCTGAGCCCCCGATTTTGCCATTGAAACCCACTTTCCGTGACCAGTAACTGTCTGCACCATGTTGTTTGATATCGTCTGCCCTACGAGTCTTTGGGCGTCCCCTCGGGTCGTGACAAAAACATCACGGCGGGAGACTTTCCGCTGTTTTCGGCCTCTGGGGAGCCTCGCTGGGCCTCGGGACCGTGGACAAAACAACGCAGGACGAAACACCGGTCTCGGGGAGTGGGTCGAGACCTCTGGGGGTCGCCGTTCTGACAAAGTCATGACGTCGGCTGTCTGGGCATCCCCATCCCTGTGACTGGCATCGCCTCATGTGTCGCCGCGCCGCTTGTCCTCGACGCGCCCAAAATGGCGACGCCGAAACCACGGCAAACCCACGACAAGCCCTGCGTCACGTCCCGCGCCCCAAGTAGACGAAGCCAGACCCGCGGCAATCCCACGGTCAGCTCTGCGTCGGAGGAGTTAGCACTGGGTGCCGAGGCGCCCTCCCCAGGGCGTGGGGAAGCGCGTCGGAACAAGCGGCGCGGCGACACAACCCTAGCCCGATGACTGGCGTCGCCTCAACTCGATGCCAAGCTTGAGGGTACCCTCGGCTTCTGAGAGCTCATCCCCAAGATCGTCCTCGCCTCTCGGCATGCCACCATTTGGACAAGCGCGTTCCACTCCTCGCAAAGGAACAACTCGCAGATGGCCTGTAGCCGCAGCGGGGGACTTACTACACATACATAGCAGAAGACATCTGTTCTTCGAGCGTTTGCGAGTAGGCACTCTGCGAGCGTTAGAACGCGCGCGGTGAATCTTGGGGATAGGGTTGGGTTAGGCGTGTCCTCCTACGGGCGGGCCTTGGGCGAAAAATGAAAGACGGCCAACAAATGTCCCAACATGCTCAAACATAGTGGAACAACAAAAACCTCCCCAGACTATGTGGTAAAACTATTGTCGAAGATTCCTCCTGAAGAGGGCCGACCTAAGGATGGGGCTGTAAGTTCGAGTCGGCTATCTTCTGACCCGGGTCAATCCAGACCCAGGTCAGCCGGAAACCAAAACACTGCAGTGCAAACAACTGCAACGCAGGTCTTCGCCAACCCGGGTCAGCCAACATGCGCGGTCGCCTCGCGGCCACGGGCGGCTCGCCGACCCGGGTCAGCCAAAGGGGGTCTTCGCAGGATCCTGCAAGATCTGTTGCCCTGGCTGACCCCCGTTTGCATTGACCCCCGTGTCTTTGAAGGGGCCCTGGGACACCCAAATGTTCTTGGTTTCTGTCTTCCCCCCCACTTCCCCATGTTTTTCCATATATTTTCTGGGGAATCGGCGATTCCTTGTGTCTGTGCGGTTTTTGCCCCTCCTGAGTCTTGAGCCCCGATCGAGGCTCATGGTGGGAGCGGGCCGGGGCGAAGGGGCCGCCGAGGCACGGGCGGCCCTCGCTGCCGGCATGCTCGCCCTGGCTGGGGCCTCCACGCTGCAGGCTGCCCGTCGCCGCGGCCAGGTCCGCCGCGAGGAGCGGGCCCAGAGGCCTCCTATGAAGGGGCCCTGACACACACACACACACACACACACACACACACACAAAACAGAAAAAAACAAAAACAAAAAAAAACACAGAGAGCAGGATTCCCCTCAATTTCCCATATGTTCTGGAGCTTCGTCTTCCGCCCCACTCCCCATGTTTCCCCATATCTTCTGGGGAATCGAAGATGACTTGTGTCCGTGTGTTTTGTTCCCTCCTGATCCTAGGTGGGGTCGGAGCAGATGGGGGTCAGGGGCTCGCACCGCATCGGCGACGCATCGGCGATGCATCGCCGATGCCTCGGCAATGCATCGGCGACGTCGGCGATACGTCGGCGACGTCGGCGTGGAGAAAATCGGGCTCGGCATCGACTCGCGTCGCCGATGCGTCGGCAACGCACCGAGATCCTCCGACCCCATCTGCTCCGACCCAGAGGGTCAGGCTGGGCCCCAGCAGGGGCCCAAGGACCAAGTTGGACCGGCGCTAGGCCGGGCGGGACCCTGAGAAAGCAGCTCACGGAGGCTTCTGGCCGTCCCCTGGCCATCGCTCGGACGTCCATCTCCTGTGTTTTTGTCGGTTTCGTGCGTGGCTTTTTCGCCAAATGATCGAGGATGCTCCTCGATGGCCCTCGCCACAAGAAAAATGCACACGTCCGAGCGATGCCAAGTCCCCTATGGCGCCCCACAGCGCGTCCAGCAGCGCGCCCAACCGCGCGCAAGGCGGGCGCAGCGCCGCACCCTCGCGCGGCGCGTGTGGGCGCCACGTGGGAGCTACGAGGCGCCTCTGAGCGTCGTTCGAGGCTTCTGAGAAGTGACCACGAAAAAAAAACACATCCCCAATCCCAAAATCGCGGATTCACCGAGGATTCGAAGATCGGCCAAAGATTTCGGGGCATGTTTTGCGTTCGTCGTCGTCGCCCTGGTAAAACCCTACCCCAAAATCTCCCTCCCCGAAGTCTCGAGGAGCCTGCATTCTGCCTTGGCCCTCGCGTTTTTGGGATTGGGCATCTGTTTTGACTTGGTGAAGAAAGAGGGTGCTTCTCAGATGGCGCCCGCCTAACATCCATCGGCAAGGCCCGCGCCTGCTGAGAAGCAGGGGTGCTTCTGAGAAGCTTGCCCCCGCCTCCCCTGCTGCGCGTGGCCGAATCCCGCACCCCTTGCTCAGCTCGCGCAACGCACTGGGGACGACGCCGGAGGCGCCGTCAGGCGTGAGGGGGGGGTCCGGCGTCGACCCAGGAAAACCCACGCGGACCACCGAACGCATATCTGTGTCACTTCCTCTGCCGAAGCACTCGAAGGAAGGAGGCCGGAGGGCAGAGGAGGGGGAGAGGGGAAGGGAGGGGAGGTGACAAGGAGAGGGGCCGAGGCGATGGATGAAGGGCGGAAGAGGGGCGTGGGGGGGAGGAGGAACGCAGAGAGGGAAATATGTACACGCGGAAGCTGAGGATACACGTCGGTCAGAAGAAGTAGGTAAAAACACGAAGTAGGAAGGCGGATTAAGTTGATTGGGTCAAGGCCCCCCCCCAGGGAATAACAAAACACAGGAAAAGCGTATCGATTCTTGAAGTAGGAAGACGCTTGAAGTAGACTGGGATCTGGGAATCCCAAAATACCTATTTTCAGCGACTGGCGTGTAAACATGAGCGAGCGGGCAGGGTTTGCTGCTGCCAGCCCGTCGTGCAAGAACAACATTACGGGGCGCCCGAGCGACGCACTCAAAACTTGCATCGAGACATACGTTGCCGAGACAGTCGGGCCCAACCTCTCTCAATTTCACCTAAATGCGAGGGCCACCTTTTGAAACAGAAAGCCTTGACCTCGTGTAGTCTTTGTGTTGGCGCTTGTGGAGGAAAGTGTGCTGATGCTTGTGCCGATGGAGGTGCTAGTGATTGTGCCCGCTTGTGTATGGGGAGGGCTTCTACAGGGCAAGTTAAGGACCCTCTCCCAACTCCCGTTTTTTCATGAAGCACCAGCAGCCCACGGAAATTGTCCTGCCAGCTTCCCGCGGGGTTCTGGACCAGTTATGTTGGAGGCCCACGGGGGAACAACACATACTTAGACATAGAATGAAACAGATCTGTTAGAGTGCCCACGCAAACACGTAAAACTTCAACATGATTGGCATGCTGAAGTGCTCGAAACAATGTTTTGGGCGCGTTCGTCTTGGTGTAGGAGGGGGCCATCATAGGCCCACACCTCGACGCGCTGATAACTGAGGGGGAGAAGCTATGGGGGGGTCTGGTGAAGAACGCCGTCAAGAAACGTGGGGGGCGTGAGGGGACAAGCGGACTTGCTCGCTGGAGAGCAAGGAGGAGGAGGAGGAGGAGGAGATAAGACTAGACCCGAGAAGCTCATGCACGACGAACTCGCGACACGGGACCCCTCAGGATCCCCCCTAAGTGTAGGCCGAGCTTGGGTTAAACCCCAGGCTCTGTCCACGCCGACCTGGGCCCATGAAGCCCGCCTCCAGGTCGAAGGCGGCGTCGGCGTCCATGACGCGCGCGGCCCCCGCTCGCCGCGCCCGCCGCTGCGTCCCAAATGGGCGCGCGGGCCGCGGCAGCGCGCCGCGCTGTCTGCCGCCTCGCCCCGCCACCGCCTCCTCGCCGAGGGCGCGGGCGAGGGCGGCGCCCAGGCGAGCTCGGCCGCCGCGCGCCTCGGGGGCCTCCGCGTGGGAGGCCGCGCGGACTCCAGCGAGCTCGCCGATGACCTCCTCCGCCTCCTGGATGGACGCCGCGCCCCGCCGCTCGCCCAGGTCGCCGTAGCACGACGGCAAGGCGGCTTGCCACGCGGAAGGCGACGGCGTCGCGCAGCACGTCGGTCATCCGAGGCCCAAGCAGCAGAAGCCAGGCCCCCCTCGCCTCCGCGCCGGCACGGCGGAGCAGCCTGCGCGCAGCGGCCGCTTCCCAGTACGCACTGCGAAGTAGCACTTCTGCGTGTTCCATTTCATTCGCGAGTCGCACGCACAGGCCGTCGATGACCTGGTCGTCGCTGTCACCCCTCTGAAAGACGGGCTTCTCACGGCCATCCGAAGAGGCCACGGCCTTTCAGTGCCGTCTTAGTCTTATATGTAGTCAGCATATTCATGATGCCTGCCCTGTTTATCCACTTGCCTTGGGACCGCCGCCTGCAGCATGGGGTGGGCGCCACCCTCCACGGCGGCGGCGCCCCTCAGGATCTGGCCCCCCTTCTCGGAGTGCTGCGCCGAGACCGCGAGGGGCGTGACAGGGGCTTCAAACATCCGCTCGCCCTCCACGTGTTTCCTGGACGCTCGCGGCGTCCCCGTGCATCGCGGAAAACCGCTGGGTGGGCCGCCGATGTCCGAGAAGACAGCCGCTCCACATGTACAGCGCACCCCCCTCGACAGCGGTTCCTAACGTCCCGCAGGGACGAAAACTGCTGCCTCCGCCCATGGCCCGTGACCACCGGCTGGGGTTGCCGCCTCGCCGCCTGCTGAGGGCCGCCGCCGCTGCCGAGGGCTGGCCACCTCCAGCGCCAGGGGCCCCAAGCGAAGGCCGTGCTGCGCAGCTCGCAGGGCACGCGCGTCCGAGCGATGGCCAGTTCCCGACTTTGCAAGATTTCCTGTCTGATGTTCCGCAGAAGTGAGGGCCGTTAGCTGCTCTGGAAATCCTGAGACACATCCTGGCCAAGTCCGCCGCTGCGTCCCCAATGGGCGAGCGGGCCGCGGCAGCGCGCCGCGCTGTCTGCCGCCTCGCCCCGCCACCGCCTCCTCGCCGAGGGCGCGGGCGAGGGCGGTGCCCAGGCGAGCTCGGCCGCCGCGCGCCTCGGGGGCCTCCGCGTGGGAGGCCGCGCGGACTCCAGCGAGCTCGCCGATGACCTCCTCCGCCTCCCGGATGGACGCCGCGCCCCGCTGCTCGCCCAGGTCGCCGTAGCACGGCGGCAAGGCGGCTTGCCACGCGGAAGGCGGCGGCGTCGCGCAGCACGTCGGTCATCCGAGGCCCAAGCTGCAGAAGCCAGGCCCCCTTCGCCTCCGCGCCGGCACGGCGGAGCAGCCTGCGCGCAGCGGCCGCTTTCCAGTACGCACTGCGAAGTAGCACTTCTGCGTGCTCCATCTCATTCGCGAGTCGCACGCACAGGCCGTCGATGACCTGGTCGTCGCTGTCATCCCTCTGAAGGACGGGTTTCTCACGGCCATCCGAAGAGGCCATCCGAAGAGGCCGCGGCCTTTCAGTGCCGCCTTAGTCTTACATGTAGTCAGATTCATGATGCCTGCCCTGTTTATCCACTTGCCTTGGGACGCCGCCTGCAGCATGGGGTGGGCGCCACCCTCCACGGCGGCGGCGGCGTCCCTCAGGATCTGGCCCCCCTTCTCGGAGTGCTGCGCCGAGACCGCGAGGGGCGTGACAGGGGCTTCAAACATCCGCTCGCCCTCCACGTGTTTCCTGGACGCTCGCGGCGCCCCCGTGCATCGCGGAAAACCGCTGGGCGGGCCGCCGATGTCCGAGAAGACAGCCGCTCCACATGTACAGCGCACTCCCCTCGACAGCGGTTCCTAACGTCCCGCAGGGACGAAAACTGCTGCCTCCGCCCATGGCCCGTGACCACCGGCTGGGGTTGCCGCCTCGCCGCCTGCTGAGGGCCGCCGCCGCTGCCGAGGGCTGGCCACCTCCAGCGCCAGGGGCCCCAAGCGAAGGCCGTGCTGCGCAGCTCGCAGGGCACGCGCGTCCGAGCGATGGCCAGTTCCCGACTTTGCAAGATTTCCTGTCTGATGTTCCGCAGAAGTGAGGGCCGTTAGCTGCTCTGGAAATCCTGAGACACATCCTGGCCAAGTCCGCCGCTGCGTCCCCAATGGGCGAGCGGGCCGCGGCAGCGCGCCGCGCTGTCTGCCGCCTCGCCCCGCCACCGCCTCCTCGCCGAGGGCGCGGGCGAGGGCGGTGCCCAGGCGAGCTCGGCCGCCGCGCGCCTCGGGGGCCTCCGCGTGGGAGGCCGCGCGGACTCCAGCGAGCTCGCCGATGACCTCCTCCGCCTCCCGGATGGACGCCGTGCCCCGCTGCTCGCCCAGGTCGCCGTAGCACGGCGGCAAGGCGGCTTGCCACGCGGAAGGCGGCGGCGTCGCGCAGCACGTCGGTCATCCGAGGCCCAAGCTGCAGAAGCCAGGCCCCCTTCGCCTCCGCGCCGGCACGGCGGAGCAGCCTGCGCGCAGCGGCCGCTTTCCAGTACGCACTGCGAAGTAGCACTTCTGCGTGCTCCATCTCATTCGCGAGTCGCACGCACAGGCCGTCGATGACCTGGTCGTCGCTGTCATCCCTCTGAAGGACGGGTTTCTCACGGCCATCCGAAGAGGCCGCGGCCTTTCAGTGCCGCCTTAGTCTTACATGTAGTCAGCATATTCATGATGCCTGCCCTGTTTATCCACTTGCCTTGGGACCGCCGCCTGCAGCATGGGGTGGGCGCCACCCTCCACGGCGGCGGCGTCCCTCAGGATCTGGCCCCCCTTCTCGGAGTGCTGCGCCGAGACCGCGAGGGGCGTGACAGGGGCTTCAAACATCCGCTCGCCCTCCACGTGTTTCCTGGACGCTCGCGGCGTCCCCGTGCATCGCGGAAAACCGCTGGGTGGGCCGCCGACGTCCGAGAAGACAGCCGCTCCACATGTACAGCGCACTCCCCTCGACAGCGGTTCCTAACGTCCCGCAGGGACGAAAACTGTTGCCTCCGCCCATGGCCCGTGACCACCGGCTGGGGTTGCCGCCTCGCCGCCTGCTGAGGGCCGCCGCCGCTGCCGAGGGCTGGCCACCTCCAGCGCCAGGGGCCCCAAGCGAAGGCCGTGCTGCGCAGCTCGCAGGGCACGCGCGTCCGAGCGATGGCCAGTTCCCGACTTTGCAAGATTTCCTGTCTGATGTTCCGCAGAAGTGAGGGCCGTTAGCTGCTCTGGAAATCCTGAGACACATCCTGGCCAAGTCCGCCGCTGCGTCCCCAATGGGCGAGCGGGCCGCGGCAGCGCGCCGCGCTGTCTGCCGCCTCGCCCCGCCACCGCCTCCTCGCCGAGGGCGCGGGCGAGGGCGGTGCCCAGGCGAGCTCGGCCGCCGCGC